AACTGGAGCAGTTTTAACTGGTAAGAGCCTACAAGATTCTTAGTTTTGACTGGACAGCAGGTATTAGCCATTTGGATACTTGATCGTTGGGTAGATGTAGTAGTAGCCAGCTAACGCAGGCTCCCCGTTCAAACGGTCTTGTATCTAAAACTCCGTAAGGAGAGTGCTATGCTCAGCCCCAGAAGGAACTAAGACATCAAACGAGAGCTCTCCAGTCACTCATATATATATTTCTTATTTTTCTAAGTTACTAACTCGCCCTCAGATTCTTGGAGTTCGCTCTGGGTAGTTTAGTAGCCAGCTAACGCAGGCTCCCCATTATTGAGCGGCTTGGTCTTTGAAGCCCGTGTGTTTTGGGTGGCATTTCGGTAACTTTAATAAATAAATAAAGTCCAGCCATTTTAATTTGGAACCCTGTTGGTCACACGTCGGTCATTTGATTCTTGCATCGTTGGGTAGTTCTAGTAGCCAGCTAACGCAAGCTCCCCAATTAAGCGATCAGGTTTTGGGTGCCGATTTGTGCTCCGACAAAAAGGGCCATGAAACTAATTAGTTTAGAGTCAAACAAAGAGTAAGTATTCCACGTCCAATACAAATTTTAATCAGTTTTAGTCATTATTTTAGTCATCATTTTTATCAGTTTTGTTAGGATCTAAAATATATTTTTATATTTGTTAAAGAAATTGTTAATTATAACTCTCTTTTTCATCGTTACTTGAATAAACCTAATTAATGAAAGGTATTAACCTGTAGATTTCACTCTTTAACCGCACGCCGCCACGATTCCACATTCTTTTAGAATTAGTTATAGTAAAAACGAGTCGCTTAACAGGCAAAAGCCGCTCTTTGCTTCATAAGTGCTGTAAATACCTGAATCTAGTACCAGGGACGTTACAGTTAAGACCACGTGTTTGACAAATTGTATTTATACCACCTAATATTTACATTCAAGCTTCAACATCAGGAAAGTTAACGAAAGAGCTCTTTAAAGTGTGGTTGATAGAAGTCTTTCTTCCACATACATCAAATAACGCAATTCTATGCTTGATTCATGGAGTGGATATAGTGAGGATATAATACAAAGGGCAACACCAGAAGACAAACAGTTTCGGCCGGAAAAGTCTCCGATTTTGTCATATCATTAAATATAAATATACACTTATATGCAAGGGACAATAAGGATTAATTCACAGTAAGGATTAGGGTAAGGTTGCTCAAATCGTACCTGTGCTCAAGTCGTACCTGTTCTATATTTGGAGTGTTATGGCTACTACAGCTGTAATGGCGCCACATTAGGATGTAGATGGTGCCCCATGTAATTTGAATGTTTTGTTATGATTCGTCACGATTTTCACTAAGAGATATTGTTATTAAGAAGTTTGTCACTGTTTTCGTATAATATTCTACATATCTGTGATAGTTAATTTTGTAAGTATTTATTGTTTTTGGAGCTTTGTAGATAGTGCTGTAAGTTTTGTAACTATTATAGAATCATTTGAGCGAAACTAACATGCATTACGATCAATCAGCATGAGGTTATATTAATTTTAATAACAATTTACGTAGTGTCCTTAGTTGTACTTGTTCGAGACGTCGTAATTCCTAAATCGTAACTGGTACGACTTAAGTGACTTAGGCTTTAGAAATTCTTACTTCGACCGATTTTTTACCTCCTTCTTTCTTTTCTGTTTTTGATTTTTAATTTTTGTAAATTGGTAGGCTATTATGTTAAAACGAGTTTATAATCGTTGGAAAAATGAAGACATGGAGGAGGTGTTAACCAAATTATCGCAAGGTGTTATTGGATTTAATGAAGCTCATAGAAAATATGGAATCCCAAAACCAACATTACGACGTCATTTTCTAGGATTAAATAGGAACGTCAAATTTGGAAGGCCCAAGGATTTAAGCAATACTATGGAACGGGAGTTCCATAACAAAAAAATAATAATTTAACAGAAAAATAAAGAAATATGTGTGTGATACCTGTGCTTAATGAAAATTAACTCATTATTGAATTCTTTTTTTTTTGTTATTGAATCTTAATTCTTAATAAAATGACCATTCTTAATGAATTTATTCTAAATAAATACCTAATGATTGTACTTTTAGGTAGGTACGACTTAAGACACTGGTTTCGTAAGTCGTACCCTTGCAATTTTTTTTTAATTTAGATTAATTTACATGACAACACAAAGATTGTTCGGAGTTGTTCTAATAAATAAAAACAATATTTAGACTAGAATCGAATAGCAAATATAGTTTTTACATATTTGCTAAATACTCATTGTTATGCAGGTTTTTTCTTAGGGGGTACGACTTGAGCAACCTTACTCTAATTCACAGGCAACTGCAGGCTCGACGTTACAAACGTTTGTTTCGATATTTGCATGGTATCGTTGTGGATACACAGAAAATCACTCAGAAGAATTCGAAAATCCCGTAGAATTCTGCTTCACAAATATAAGTACTATATAGAGTGTGCTTATTGTGAGAATGTGGTAATACTTCAATTTTCCTGGTGCAAAGAGTATTTATGTTTTACACATTTCTTAATTCAATTTCATTATTGTGATCAATAATAGAATAACTTTTTATAATACGAGGGTTGTCCGTAAAATAAGGTTCCCAAAGAGCTGTAGTTGCGAGGAACGGTGTTACGTGAAATCTGGCGGCACTGACGTGTAGCTTGGTCCTTCCTCTTTCAGACCCCGCCACGTCGAGCTATCTGCGACTCTCCATTTTAGCATGACAATCGCTAGAAATGGAGCTCCCACTCGCTTCTCCCGCTAGGTGCGAATTACACTCTGTGATTCGTTTTTTGTGTGCAAAAAACAATGCAGCGGTGGACATTCATCGCCAATTACATGAAATCTACGGAGAAAAGTGTATGAGCGTAAAGCACGTGCGAAAATGGTGCAGAAAATTCAAAGACGGACGTACAGATGTCCATGACGAACAGCGTTGCGGACGGCCATCCGTTCTAAGCTACCTTCGCGGCGTGGCGGAGAGTTCTATGATGCGGGCATAAAAAAGATGGTGCACCTCATGCAAAAATGCATTGATCTGAACGGCGATTGCGTCGAAAAATAGGGTTAAGTCTAAGCTTTCCAAAAACATATTACTCAATGCCAATAAACATGTTTTTCATTGTGAAAAATCATTGGGAACCTTATTTTACGGACAACCCTCGTATAACGAATAACTTTCTTGCCTTTTTTCTCACGTTTAATTCAATTTTTATTTTTTTTCAGATATCATATGTCTAATGGTGGTAACAGGTCGAAGCGCGTATAGACTACAAAAAACTCTGACATTTGCAATAGTAATTAACACCTTAGAAACATGCCTGCGACACCTCTCTTAATGTTTGACGGTAAAACTGTCGATACTGTATGCCACCCTCTTCAAAGCATTGTAAAAGTTTATGATATTTTTCGGCAAAGCAGGAATGAATACATTTCATTGCATGACGTGACAACAAATTGTATATTTAATAAATATTTCTAAATGACGAATAACTGGAAATTCCAAAAACTCGTATCTTCTATTTTTGTCCATAGTTTATGTATATCAAATATACTTGAAAGTAAATTAACGTTTAACCAAAAAACTACGTAAAAAATTAAATTTTTAACATATTATTTAAACAAATGGTATTTCTTTCAAATTTCCTTTACACATGAACCCGCAACTCAAAAATACACAATTAAAAAAAAAATTTTAGTACTACCCGTTCCAGTTCACGAGATATTTAAAAAATGTAGTTTCAACCCCAAACTTTACGGGCTGTTTTCACCCCTTCAATGTGCATGATTGCCAGTAAAAAAATACGTGTCAAATATTTTTTTGAGAAAAAATATTTCTCAAAATATTTTTATATTTCACAT